GGACGTGGAACCAGAACATGATGCAGGACTTTAAACTGGTCTCCTCCCTGGAGCCAGGCTTACTTGGATAAAAACTGAACCTCCCCATATATAGAGCCAAAAACCCAAAGGACTCAGTGGGGGAGGAACAGTGGACGATCAGGAGACGAGACAAACACAAAAACCTCTTTTCACTGGCTGCCAGGATCCAGGACATGAACCAAGGCAAAAAATGAACAGACAGACTAACAGAAAGACAAGTAATAATCTGGCACTGAATGCTTAGGCTGAATGAATATAACCAAGAGGAAACAGGTGAGAGGAATAAATTATAATTGAGGCAGGGAGGGAAAATGGCAGGTGAAAGAAATTACCAATTAAGGGAGAGCAAACAGGCCAGATCATGACACATCTTTCTATTATAAGTAACTATGAGCCCCAGTCAGGGACTCATATTACGTTTTCTGTTCCAATTTACAATCATATTTGTTCCACAGGGCTCAAGATGGACCCTCCAGGCCACCACCATGGATGGTAACTTTGTAAGTTTTCTTCTTTTTGTTCTCTAACCCCTACATTTTGCTCCAAAAAAAAAGAAAGATTGCAAATCCAAGCTGTATTTCTCTCTAACAGGGTTTGATGACGATCCAGCCTGACCAAATGCAGGTAAGCCTCTCTGCAATGGCTTCATTCCCTCACCGTTGACATGAACCGACTCAACCAAGCAGCCATCTTTTCTTGACCTCCCACCAGACTGTCAACCCCATCCTGATCCTGATCATGGTCCCGGTCGTGGACATCATAATCTACCCACTCATTTCCAAATGCAAATTAAACTTCACGTGAGGCCTTTTTATACGCTTCTGTAATTTAACCCTATAAGTTAAGGTTCATTATGGCTGAAAGAGTGTTTGGCTCTGTTTTCCAGTCCATTAAAGAAAATGACAGTCGGGATGTTCCTTGCGGCTCTTGCTTTTGTGGCGGCTGCGCTGGTTCAGCTGCAGATTGATGTAAGTGAAAAAACCAACATGTTAACCGTTCATTAAAAACGTTTGACCCTAACCAAGCGTGGTTTCTTCCCTCTAGAAAACTCTGCCTGTTTTCCCGGCAAGCAGCGAGCAGCAAGTGAAGTTCATCAATATGGGAAATGAGCTCATAAATATCCGTGCTGGAAATGACAGTATCCAGTTGAAAGCTTTTGAGGTAAGAACATCCCTCTGACAGCTATCTCGGCTTTGAAACAAAGATTGCTAAGTCAGTTTTCTCCAACAGGGAAATCAGGAGTATTTCACATACAAACAACCATTTAACCTGCAAATAGAGTCTGATCCCGCTGAAAAAATTACCCTACCAAATGGTTCTCGTAATACCATCGTCATTCTCAGAGACGTATCCAAGTGGAGGCATATTCAGGTAAGCTTACTGGTCACGTTAAAATGAAACTCAAATAAATTTTTTCCTTAAAAGTGTTTTTTTTATTGTTTCCAGTTCAGTGATATTGTTGCAAAACCAGAGGAGGGCACTAATGCTATCAGGTCAGTTTCAATTAACCTTGTTGGAGAAGATTTCTTGCTTTCTTATTTACATTAGTATAGGTTTTTTTTTTTATAGCTTCGTGACCCAAAGCCTCCTCCAAATTCAACATTGCCTTTGGTTTTAAACAATCCACAGCTGGAAGTTCCTGAAACTTAATTGCTTTGTTTTCTCTCTCAGATTCTTCAACGGTTTCGGCTCCGTTTTGAATATAACAGCGGGCGACCAATTGTACGGCAACGTCGTTCCCAGCAACATGTCCATATACGTCAACGTATCGCAAGGAACGTAAGTTTGATTACTGTCGGATGCGGTTCCTCAAGTGGATCTATTTCCTCTAACTGCTGATTTTAATACGACAGGCCAGAGTTCACGATCAAGGATAACGCTGGGAGGGAATGCGTCTTCAGTCGAACGTTTGGCTTTGGCAGTTCTTACACCTTCATCATCCCACCAACCTTTCCTTTTGGAGAAAATGTAAGTTTTGAACCATGTTTTTTTTTTTTTTTCAGAATTATGGCTTCAATGTTCGGGTTTTTATTGAAATTTCTTCCTGTATTGCAGTGTGGACAGAGCATCGAGGAGGTAGAGGATATCAAGCCCAACTCCATCCACATGGCCTGGCAGATTCCTCAGTACTTCCTCATGACGTCAGGAGAAGTCGTCTTCTCCGTCACTGGGTTGGAGTTCTCATATTCACAGGTAATAAGTCCTCCTTACAAGAAAAAAAAATTTAACTATTATAAAGAAAAGGCCTAAATCCCACCACTTCTGCTATTCAGGCCCCCTCCAATATGAAGGCAGTGCTGCAGGCTGGTTGGCTGTTAACTGTGGCAGTAGGAAACATCATTGTGCTGATTGTTGCAGAGGCTGCTACACTTAAAGATCAGGTGAGTCGATGTTATTCTATTCTATTAACTGACTCTGTTGTTACAGGAGGCTGTAAATGAATCTGGGTATAATTGATTTTTTACTGATTTTTTTATGGGATTTTATTTTTTTTTTGACACAAAGAACCATTTTAACTCTTCAAAATAGCTGCCACAGGAAAAAAAAATATGCTAGCTGCGGAAGCATATCTTAATTTTAGTCCAATATTTACATTTAAGAACATCTTTAACCGGTTTAGCCTGGTATTTAAATTAGGCCTGCAACTGATTATTTTTTCGATTACTTGATAAGTTATTGGATAGAAAAAGGTTCCTTAAATTTTTTTTATCAAATTAAACCAGGTAAAACTAACATTTTACAAAAATTTTTTAATCTTGAATGCAAAATGTTTATATTTTTTACAATCTTAGTATAATAATTGCTCTAAGTGGGTTGCTCCATCAGCTAAAGGCACGTTTTAGAGTCTCTAAACTCGAGTTAACTAAAGTAGTTAGGCGGTTAATCCCGATTAATCCGATTAATTGCTTTAGCCCTAATTTAAGCCGTATAATACACAAACCTAAGTACTAGGATGATGTTTTACTTTTATTGTTATTATCAGATTTTCCATTTCCCAGATTTTGTTTCTAATTTAAGAAAATATCTAATTTCTTTACTTTGTGCATACAGGGTTTATACATGAATGAGTAACTCTAATTTAATGCTTTTTAATGCTGTTAGGATTTTAATGGCATCACCAAGTACCCACCTATATAAATAAATAAAAAACTGCAAAATCCTGCGTCATCTTTACCGTAGAAAAGCTGCAGCCATTTCCCGCATTCCTCATTTTCCAGCCACTTTTTGTTGAAATTTGCTTTTTCCCGTTCTCTAGCTTTTTTGCTGATGGAGGTTCTCAGTCATCCAGGTCATAGTCATTCCGTAAAAGTTCAAAAAATATCCACTGGACTTGGTTTCCAAGATTTGAAGACGTTTCGCCACCTCTCCAGGAAGCTTTCTCAATTCAAATTTCCACCTCGAGCTTCTTTTCTGAACATACCAAGCAGTATATTGCAAATATTTCTTATTCTGATAAAAAAAAAATATATATATATACATTTCTTAAATAAAGCATCTTAAATGCCACAATAATCACATTTAATGAATTTAAAATTTAAAAAAAATAAATTTAATGATTTTAATGACCCGCGGAACCCCTGAAAAATCTCTATAAAAACTTCTCTTCTTGCAAATCATTTATTCCCCTTATGATACAAGGTTCAAACTTATCGTGCCTTTGCTTTTTTCTCAACTATAAAATTGTTTGAATTTACTGTATCGTAATTTTCCAAAATGTATTTATAGATTGTTGTGTTTCTCTTCCCCAGTGGGCTGAATACATCCTCTTTGCCGCTTTGCTGGTCTTGGTTTGCATAATCTTCGCCATCATGGCCTACTTCTACACATACACTGACCCTGCAAAGGTAGAGGCCCTTTTTGGAAACTTGGAGCCTGAAGAAAAGAAGAAGAAGAAAAGTTTAGAAATGATCAAGGAGGACATGGTTGAGAATCATGACGAGAAAAGGAGGAATTCTGATTCCAGTTCTGATGAGGAGGAGGAGGAGAAAGGCAAACAGACCCATTTCTAAATCAAGACCTCTCTCTGCTTCTGGCGTTACGGAAACAAAAAAGCTGCTGGGTTCCTCCGGTCATAAGAGTGTCTGTGACATTTCATTACTTTATCATCACATGAATAAAGTTAGAGTGACGTTATGACTGGAGTGGGTTGGGGAACCTGAAGCTGCTGGAATAGAGCCTTGCTTAAAATCAAAAGAGAATATGCTATTATTATGTTGATGTAGCTGTATCTGTAATTTCTTACCAATCTTTTGTGAAGTCCCAAAAAAAAAAGAGAAATGCATTCAAATATTTGTATTTATTTCCAAAGACAGTATTGTATGTTCATAAAACTATTTGGAGTCTTTGTGTGTCGTGGTTGCGATGAACATCTAAGGCTTCGTAATTTCCTAGAAAGGCTCCATGTCCAGGAATATACCGCCCTGTGCAGTGGTTGGTCAACAAGTGAAAATCAAATGTGCATTAAAATGAATATTTACTAAAAATTGTTGTTAAAATTCTTGGACTGAATTAGCTGAATAGAATATATGAAATTAGGTGAGTTGTTAAGAAAAAGTTAGATTTGATCTACTTGTTTTTATTCTAAGGATTACTAAAAAGCAATAGGAATTAGGGGTGTCCCAATACTACTTTTTAATTTCCAATACAATACCCATATGGCAGCTTTGACAATTGGTACGTACCAATGTTGTACCGATTGGATATGAGCACAACTCATACCAGCTTTTATTACTAATTTTATACTGCAGAATGTAAAAAAAAAGGCTTGATCAAGTAATACAAAACAAAAGTCAACAACAAAAGGTATGAAAACAACTAACCCAAGTAAAATGAACCAATAAGTTACAGGATTTTTTAACAGAAGCAGAGGGTTTCTATCAGCATGAAAATAATGGAGATTTTAGACGTCAGCCGATAAAATCCGACATTAGTTTTTTTGGCTAATATCAGACAGATATCCTTAGACTCAGCTTTATTAATCCCTTAAGATTACTCCTTCAGGGAAATTCTGGTTCCAGTACCAAAAAGAGTTCAAGCAAGATGCCATTAAAGATAAAAATAAATATAAAAAGAGTGTATATAGCACAAAAAAGCATAAAAAAGAAAAAAAGTTGTAATGTCCTGGAATATGTTTACCTTAGATATAAAATAATATATCTGCACACTAGAGAGCTAAGGGAAGACTACATAGAAGTTGACTTGGGTTATTGCACCTGCACTACATGTACTGACCTTATAAGTGAAAATTATACACACTACACAGTAGTTGGCATGTGATATTGCACAGTGAGAGAGAAAAATATGCACAAAAGTGACAATATGTAATGTTTTGCATAAGATGTCCAAGGAGGGGGGTGCTGACCTGTATCCCTAATAGGAATATAAGTATGCTTTAAATATATGTAAATTGATAGAATCCTTTTTAGATAATAACATGATCTAAAAAAAAATATATTATTTTGAAAACTGCAACAAAATGAGTCTGTAACAGGAAAAGAAACAGCGGGAGTTTTCTTCCCTTACTGTGAGATGTATTCATGACAGAAACATTTGCTTAATGTGTGTATATACTATATAAATATATATATCTATAGAAAAATAAAAGCTTATTGTAATGCTTTATAAAATATATATCCACCCTGGAGGGTTTATTAGCACATCTATGATCTTATTTCCTTACAGTCTAGCAAACATGATGGAGGTTCATATAAAAGAAAGGTAAACCATATCTGTATGAACTAAATTATATATAGACTGGTATTTTTTGTCAACTGATTTGTTTGGGATGAAAGCTGCTCACAGTTACTAATTTAACACCGCCTTGCATTTTAAAAGGCTTGTTAACAATGATTTAATAAAACATGCTGTTTTTCGAACGCTAGATGGCGCCAATGACGGCACCTCAGTTGGTGTTTAGTTAGGTTTGCGTCTGCTGAGGTTTCCTAGAATTTGATTGGTTGAAAGGTTTCCAAGGTTTTGATTGGTTGTCAGGAGGCTCAGCTTTTTGGTGCCAATCAGAGCCACCTGCGGTCACTATACCTGTGAGTATATTCACTTTTAGAAGTTATAAACTGCTAAACTTTCCTTAATGTTAGAATTAAGGAAATATCCCAAAGAAATATGTAATATGAAACGTTTCCCCTAAAGAAGAAAAGGAAAAAAGCACCTAATTTAGTGTAGCTTCAGGTAAACCTTGTTTTAGACCCGACTATGCTTTATGGAAAAATACACGGTCATGAAAGATAAAAGATAATTAAAGGTAAGTTCACATTTGTTCTATTGTAGTTTGAAATTAGCCTTTTGGGGGATAATTTAAAATGTCCTATTGGTGTAAATATGGGCTAATTTATTCAGAAAACAAAATGCAGACCAGGCTCTAAACACACTTGATTTTTAAAATTACATGTTTCTTTGTTGTTTTTTATTTAGTTGTATCAGACAGCTGCAAGAATTGAGGAGCTAAAATCTAGGGATAATTATGCCTCTATTAGATTACATTGAAACTTCAAAGTTGTGGTCTAAAGTAAAAATAATATAAGTCTCAACGTTAAGCAACCAAGGTTAAGTAGTTTTTCTCCCTTAGCAGTCAAACAGCAGCAAAGAGCAACAAGTCAAAAGGTCACACATTCAGCTTGGATTTATAATTCAGTCCAGTTAATTTCTATAGCGCCAATTCACAACACATGTCATCTCAAGGCACTTTACAGTTCACCAGATCATCCAGTCAAATGGATTCAAAGTTTTCAATCCAAGGAAAACCAGTTGATTGCATCGACTCATTGATTCGAAGGCAATTGCTCACACTAAGCATGCTTGGAGCGACAGTAGAGAGGAAAAACTCCCTTTTAACAGGAAGAAACCTCCAGCAGAACCAGGCTCAGTGTGAGCGGCCGTCTGCCGAGCACATCCAGCCAGTCACAGTCAGAGAAACAGGACTACACTGAAAAAAAGGCTGATCTCCAACATCTATAAACAAAGGTGTTGATGGCAGCAGTACAGCTGATATTTCTCTACAGGATGGAGTCACAGCCAAACAGGAAGACAAGACAAGGCAAAGCTTCTATGAGAAAATTTTAATGCATGTAAATACCCTGTGCAATAACCCTGAATAATAATCCTTATAAAAAATAAAAAAAACTTCAGCTGTCATATATATATATATTGCATTCTGATATATTTTTAAACTTCAGAAATATTTTAGGGTTGTATGCTGATCTTCTAACCAGGGGGTCAGACAGTGGGAAGAATCTGACCTCAGCCTCTCAATAAATAATCTATTTCCCCTTCACAGCCATCTCAGATAAGGTGGAAAACCACTTCTCAGACTAATGCAAGCAGGTTAGTGCTGAGACGACAGAAAGATATGGAAGACAATAATGGGCCGGCACTAAGAGAGATCCCTCTAGACGAAAAGACGAGCATTATATACCTGTTCTAAGATGTCAGTTTTTCCTTTCCTCTCATTATGATGTTCAGCAAGCTTTGAGTAGAAAATAGAGTCCAGTTGCCTGCAGCAGACACCTATAGCAGCTAATAAAATATATATAACTGCTCTCCTAAAGAACTGCAATAAAACTGATTGCAGCTTAGCTTTCAGAGAGAGATATTAATTATTGTGAACAATCTAATTTCTGCCCAGAATTTTTCACTTGGCTGCTAGTTACATTATTTTTATGTTACCATATTTTAACGTAAAAAAACAAACAAATTCACTTTTAGCATTTATTCTAATAGTTTACCCAGTCCATTTTCAGAGGATGTTCTTTTTACGGTTGGAACATCAAAATAAGTGGTCCTCCTAATTGTTAATCATTCTGCTGACATGTTTACATAAGGCCGTCCTACGTGCTCATCCCCAGTTAGCTAGCTTTTTCTGCGCATGCGCACTTTCAGGCGTATACGTGTGGTGAGCTACGATCTCAGACAGTCATTGAAGCGCAGCGTTCTCACCGCGGTTCTTTGATTCTTTCGATGGTCGTAAAAGAAAAGTGTTTACGAAGCATGTGTGAACAAAAGAAAGGCCTCAGAAGATAGAAACAAGATAGAAATGAGATTCTTTCATGCAATGGTGTACAATGAAAGCACAGATCAGCCTTCCCACTGATGGCTCCGTTAGGTTTTCACTTACAGGTGGTGAGTCTGACATGGAGGAAAAATTGCGAATCTTTTGGAAAGTAAGCTTGTATGAGCTACGCAAGCGGCAACTTTTAAACAGAGCGTGCACGAGTAGAAATGGGCTTGTGCACGCTCTCACACGTTTAATAGGCATTCCCTATCTGGAGCGCGTACAGGGTTGTACATGTGCATGCACTATACCTTTAAGAGTACATATTTCATTATTTACAAGGTTTTTTTGTGTTCTCCCTCTTCGATTCTACATCGTCTTGTTTTTTTTTTCTCCATGTTCATTTTTTTTTCAATTTCATGTTAAATTTTTAATTTTCACGCGTTTGTAGGGGAAATTACTGCCAATTTATGCTTCTGACGCATAGCCTTTTCAACTGTCAAATCTGTCTCTGTGCATGACTACACCCCCCGCGCAGAGATTCTGCAACCATCGTCTCGCACTTGAAAAAAATCCTGACTACGCGTCGGACGGTCGCAAACCCCCGCAGACCTCATGCTGAAGTTAGCAGACAAAAAGCAGCTGTGATTGGTCCTTGGTATGGCTTTCCGGCCGTCTGTGTGGTTGTCCTTCTCGATTCGATCTCGGGGTGCGGCATTTTTGAAAACCGGGGAGTAATAACAGCAATGGATAACCACCGCGAAAGGTTGATTAAGGAGGTTCGGAAGTACAACCACTTGTACGATGCCTCAGATATGTTGTTTTTTTTTAAATAAACACTTCCACCGGCGCAGCTGAAGAAGTTCCATCCGCCGAAGTTCTCGCAAGTTCTCAAATAGACTCCCCCTAGCGCTTTGGCAGGAAACTGCCGTGTGTCCCTAGAAATTCCAGACTGACGGTGCAGAAGCATACCAGCAAAACTGGTTCACAACCAGACCCAAGCGACATTTGATGTGTGCCGTTACAGAAGTAGAATCCGCCCTTTATGCTTCTGACGTATAGCCTCTGCAACCATCAAATCTGTCTCTGTGCAGGACCACGCCCCCCGTGCAAAGGCTCTGCAACCGTCGTCTCGCACCTCAAAAAAAATCCTGACTACACGTCGGACGGTCGCAAACCCCCGCAGACGTCAAGCGGAAGTGCGCAGACAAAAAGCAGCTGTGGTTGGTACTTGGTATGCCTTTTCGGCTGTCTGTGTGGTCATCCTTCTCCATTTGGCGCCGGGGCGCGCCATTTTGGAAGTACAATCCGTCAAAGTTCTCAGGAGTTCTCGAATAGGCTCCCCCCTTGCGCTTTGGCAGGAAACAGCTGTGCATCCCTAGAAATTCCAGACCGACGATGCAGAAGCATACCAGCAAAACTGGTTCACTACCAGACCCAAGCGACATTTGATGTGTGCGGTTGCAGAAGTATAATCTGCCCTTTAGTGTCCACGTGTCACATCATACCTCCAGCCTTCATCAAAACATGCTTCCAACAAGGTCACATCCATGTAAAGCAAATCAGACACATTTCTCAGTTAGCATTAGATCTTTATTTCTCATGTCACTTTAAAAGCTTACATTTAACTTGGGAATTTCTCAAATGACACAAGCAAAGATTATATACAGTACTATAAATCATCAGCTATAATAAAGGAAATCAAATGTACACATTTTGTTATTTCTGTAGCATATGTTTTTTTTTTTTCTTCTGAAAGGTATAGATATTTTTTGCCGGAGGCAGATGCCCATATCCATAAAGCATTCCGTATTTCCATACTTAACTCTTTTCCGTTATAAAAATATCAGATATTTCTTAATTTTTCTCAATCCCTGTTTTGACAAGTGCATCTTGATGCGACTCCTCAACATTATTGCTGCAATAGCACAGTAGTAAATTGTGGAACTCTTAAGTAAACATATGTAGTAAAACATGGCTATTAGCAACTGGTTTTGTCTCTAGTTTTCTTCCTCTCACAGGAGTCTTTAAATACTCTACACTTTCAAAGTGCACAAAAACGGATCTGAAAATTAGAAATAAAACAAAAATAAAGGTGCAAATCATACTAGTGAAAGCGTAAGAGAGGACATGGCACTTCTATAGCGAGAGGTGAAGATGACGAGGATGGCATGGGACTCTGCAGGTAGGCTCGTTCTGATTTGGCCAGAATAAATGTGGCTTAGACACGGGCCTGGTACCAGAAACAAGGGATTAATTAATTAAAAAGTCGCGCTATTAACCGTAGTAGGGTGTGTTGCAGCATCTGGTGTCTTCTGACTAATTCAGGAATGTCCCACCCCCACTTGTTGCTGAACTTATGGTCAGCTAGTTGTATTGTAGAATTTAGCTTACACTGAATTAGTAAAACAAATGGTATTGATATTGTTAAAACATGAAAAAAAATAATTGAAAGTAAAGCGAGTAATTTTGTTCTGATTTTTAATTTAACAAAAGCATATTTTCATACCAAAATAATCCAATGCCAGCCCAAGCCTAATTTTGTGCCATTTTTTCCTCATTTCCACTTTAGTATCTAAATACTGATAAACCAAAAAAAAAAAAAAGAAAACAGAAAATACTTCAACTGTTATCAGTTTAACGTGGTTCCCCCGTTCATCTACCTTTTTATTTTTGTCCTATAATTCTCAGTTCTTTAAACATGAATAAAAGGTAAAAGTTGTTCTGGTTTCTCATAAAGTTTAACTTAATTACTCTGCTGGAAGTTGAAACACTGGAACTCAAGTCACTTGAAAAAAGAAAACACTGACGATTCTCACAGATGAGTAAAACAAAAACTAAATCTGCGGCGAACGCTGAAAAAGGCAAGGCATTTTCTGTCGGAGTTACCTTTGAGATGTTTTTAAATACCTACTTTATCTTTAATCAGTATCTACAAAATGCGCGTCGATCATTTTGTACACAGTGATTCATTTACCGCAATGATAACTTGTAGTCATGTACAGCATGGCGCCCCCTCCTGCCTCGGAGGACAAAGTCCACTTAAAGCACTTTACCTGAGGTTTCTTTAAGGATGCTGCAATTTGCCTAAACAGGGAGGTTTACACACAAAACGAAACGCACACATACATATGCACGCACGCACACATACACACGGCTTGTACACTTGGATAACATCCCTGCAGGTTCATCAAGCATGCTCTCATAGGCTCCTGGGGGATATGACGCCTGCATTAAGAGAAGGGGGAGGGACTGAAGTCCTGTTAGGGAATCGAGGGAGACTTTCAGCTCCTCATCCAGCAAAATCCATGCAGAGACTGTTGTGAGGCGTGAGGAGCGTCACATGATAGACTTGGCTATTGCTGTTTTTTGCAGCTGGTCGCTCTCGCTTTGAGTCTTTTTTTTTTCCTCCCCGCTGCTGTATCATCACAGCTTCCAAACATCTTCTCTCGTTAATGGATAAAAGAAGCTCTGCAAAGTGTCTCTGTTCTCCGCTGTGGAGTTGAGTCTTTTTTGTTGTGTTTTTTTTAAATAACAGGCTAAGTTAGCGCCCCTCACATGGAGGTCAAATGCAGCCAGCTGGTATCGAATGACTTGACCCTCAACGTTTAACCCTCTGTCTTGGATAGGGTGTTGATGGGATGTGGGGGACCTGGGAGAGCAGGTTCGGGGTAGAAAGCCAATCTCTAAGGGGAGGAAGAGGATCTTCTGCTTGTGGAAAAACTGTAAATAAAATAAAGTCACCAGTGGAGCAGATGGTTATTTTTAGCTTTATGCTATGTTAGCATGAATAAAGCCGTTACCTCTGGAGCCTTTGCACCATATGAGCCACGAGGGAGTCAGAGATGCCAGGGTAGGCCTCTTCAGCCAGGAGGATGGCCTCTCTGAGCTCATCCAGAACCAGCGGGTTTCCATTCACCTGCTCCTGTCGGGCCTTCAGCTGAGATTTAATAAGAACAAGTGAAGAAAAATCCAAACTCACCACTGTCTCACTTTAATTATAAACCAAGCTAGAATAATCCGGTTGCTAAGGGATGGGAAAGTAAATGAAGCGGTCCCTAATCGTCAAACTACTGATAAGTGGATAAAATTAAACGCCAGAGTTTGAAAGCAAAGTTACAGAAGAAGAAGATCAGAGGACAAAACTACAATCCTCACCTCGGCTAATGCAGGAGAAATGACCGTGGTCAGGCTCTGTGAATAAGGCCTCCTTGGAATGTCTTTCGTCTGATTTAAGATAAGAAGCAAGACAGAAATTAAAATGGTACAAATTCATATTATGCACTGGAAATACTAACTAGAAATAAGTAAAAATGTCTTAAATTAAGAGTATTTACCCTTAATTTGAGTAGTTAAATGAGATAGTTTGCCAATGATATGAGTATTTTTACTCTTAAAATAAGATAAGCGTAAATTGTCTTGTTCCATTGGCAAAATGTCTCTCCTACCTCCTCAATCCAAGAAAAAATGCACTTATTTTAAGAAAACATGACTTATCTAGATTTCGATTTTTAATTAACAACAATTACAACTTCTTGTGAAAGCACGAGCTGACCTGGTCCGCCCCCCCTGACTGGCCTTCTCCATTCTGTAGTTTTTTGGGGTCCTTTTCTCGAATGGTGAAGATCCAGTCATCGCTGCCAAAGTCATTCCCGCCTGACGCCTGGCCATCCTGTTCTCTGATTGGATCAGAATAAGATTGGATTGATTTGTTTTTATAGAAGGGAGAAAAAAAAGCCAAGTAATTCCAATATACTTACGAGTCCGACTCATCTGAACTGGACTCTGTAGTTCTAGATTGCTCAGCCTTCCACCTCTTGTACTTGTCCACCAGCTCCGTCAGGTATGACGTCTTTTTCGCATAGCGGACAATTAATTTATGCTTCAGCAGTTCTTTGGCAGTCGGCCTCTGCGGAACGGGCAAAAGAAAAACGGTGAGGCACATCAGTCTGGGAAAAATGACCTCAAACGTTCAGAAATGATGCAGAACGACGAGCCTACGTACAAAACTGGGCTCTTTGTTGAGACAGGCCTCGACAAACTCCTTCAGAGGTTTGCAGTAGTTGCCCTCCAGCGTGGGCGGGTTGTTCTTTGGAATGAGGAATAACACCTTCATGGGGTGGAGGTCCGAGTGGGGCGGCTCACCTTTCGCCAGCTCGATCGCAGTGATTCCAAGTGACCAGATGTCGGCCTTGAATACACAGAAATGGAGATAACGGTGCGTGCTATCAAACAAAACTCAATGTAAACCAGCTGATATGTATTTAATTTAGACATTAATCATAGATCAACACAAAGCAGAACAGCACTCTATAGTGAAAACCATGCAAGGAGTTCCTTTACATGCAATCATCCCCAAGGCAGGACGACGAGTTGTTTGTCATTTTAGTTTAACAGGTTTTCTTCAGGATTGTCCCATTTGTTATTTATTAGCTTCTCCCAAACTAGTCTGACCAGCTGCTCTATCAATGCAGAAGTAAATCATTGCATAATGCAGCCTCTACCGTGTTTCGCCATTAGGGTTTATGTGGTCAGGGGTTAGTTCTGTGCTAAACATGGCGTTTTGGTGTCTGACCCTTCTTCCACGGGTTTGCTCTGTTCTCTACATGACTTTTAGAAAATAAGAGGTGAATTTAAGCGACTTTCTTCTATCCAGTCTTTCATAAAAGCCAGGTCCGAAATAAACTTTTTGACTCACAGGCCAAGAGGACCAGTAGATAAAAATTATCTACAAAGCATATTTTTAACAGCTAAAAAAAAAAAGTTTGCTTATATATTTTTAAAGGAAAGTACTTTTCTAAAATTGAAATGCAAAATAAATGCATTTGATAAAGTGTCCGTAAATAAACCCGTTAAACAACATTAATTCATATAAGTAGGTATTAATAGATTTAGTCAAAAGCAGCAAAATACCTTTTTTCTTTTCATTGTGTTGACATTTTGATCATTTATTGATTGGTTCTAACTGAGATGGAGACGTTTTTTTTGCATATCAGAAATTAGCCAGTCATTTTCTTCGTAAAAGTGCAATTTTTTCAATAAACATTCTCTTCACCCAGGCGGCTGTAGATCCTCGCTTACCTTCCTAATCATTAGCTTTTTGTATTTTAGAAAGTCTGTTCGGTCCAGCTATACGCCGCCACATTTTGCCTAGCTGCAAAGGGACAGTTGAGACTCACCAAAATAAAAGATGGAACTGAAATAAAACTGTGGTCCAAACATTTCCTCATCTTGTGGCAAATGGTGCTCTGGGATTAATTCGACAAAGTGTAGAACTTCAGCACTCTTCAACAATCTTTTTGGCGACTTGAGTAAGAAACGAGGGGAGGAAGTACACGCTTCCCTAAGACCGCCCCCTTCTTCTTCTGATTGGCTATTACTGTTAGTTTTCTTTGCTACCCTTAAATGACAAACACAGGGATTTCAATTCTTTTTTTTTTATTTATTTACCGTCAATTTATTTTTGAGGGATTTTTTTTTTTTTTTTACCCACAAGCAATCGCTACGATCCCTGTGGTTTAATTAGGAATACAGACATCATGCCTTAATATGTCAGTAAAGTGAAAATCTGGAACATAATGCAGCGCTGCATGGCGGTAGAAACCCACGGCTTTGAACTCACCTTCGAGTCGTAAGCGGACTGTTTGATCACCTCTGGGGCCATCCAAAATGGCGTCCCGACAAAGGTGTTGCGTTTGATCTGAGTATCCGTGAGCTGGCCGGCCACGCCGAAGTCGGCCAGCTTCACCTCTCCTTGCTCGGACAGCAGCACATTGGCAGCTGTGGACCAGGAGCAAAGGGAAGAACCGTAAGAGCGGAAAATCCTGCTTTATCTTTATAAAAACTGTCCATCCAGCTCATCGATTAGCATCAATCTTAGGTGAAATACAAGCTGTATAATGAATGAAGGCTTAAGTGGATGTCAATAACATTAAAGTGCAATATGATATTTACGTGTGTGCACTCTATGAAGCCGTTTACTCAGTTAGCTACCTTTAATATCTCTGTGGATCTTCTTCTCTGAGTGCAAGTACTCCAGACCCTTTAGGATTTCTCTGAGGATTGTGGCAATCTGGGTCTCATCTAAAGAGCCGGGCTCCATCTTGGACAGGAAACAAACAGAAACGGAAAGAAAATGGCCATCAGGGTCTGAACTCGTGTGACTAAATGGTGGCAGAATACGTAGAAAAATACTGGTTTGTTTTGTTTTTATATTGGCTGGTGAGAAAGAAATGTAATAAACTTAGAAGTCAGTAACGGCTAGGTAGTTATAGGGCTTAAACAATCGTATTAATCGATTATTTATATTCATTTATAGATGGATTAATTGTTAAATGGAGTATGGAGACTCTAAAATGTGGAGTAATTATATCAAAATTGTAAAAAAAAACAAAAACATTTTGCATTTAGGATAAAAAAAAATGTTTCGTCTGCGAATATGCTCTATCCAGAACTCCTCGAGTGCAAAAGTTTTAGTTTGACCTGGTTTATTTCTGTAAAAATCGTCTGTAAATTTCCTATCCGATTATTAATTGATTAATCAAAAAAATTATCGAGAGGTTAATCGATTTGCAAAATAATCCTTAGTTGCAGCCCTAGGTAATTATACTAGGGAAACCTACAGCACTATAAAAAAGTTTTTCCTCCCTTTTAGATTTCGTGGTGTTATTTTTTCATGCTTAGTGTTTCTGATAATGAAATTTCAAGATTAAACACATAATACAGGTAAATTAGCAATTTTTTTATATAGAAGAGCCATCTAAACAGACTTATGATAAATTAAACTTCCCTGTTGTTAAATCTTTTCTGATTTTTGTAGGTCTGAAATAATTAATCGGATTAATCATCATTAATTTATAATTGAAATAATCGTAAGTTTAATTTAGTAATTAATGGTTAACTGGAGTATAGAGACTGTAAAACTCGCCTTTAGCTAAAAGAGCAACTCACCGGCAGTAGTTATACCAAGAATGTAAAGAAACAATATATATATATGTATAAACTTTTTTGCATTTAAGAACAAAACATTTTTCGTCTGTCAATATGCTCTAACTAGAACTCCTCAAGTGTCACCTGGTTTATTTTTGTAAAAAAAATCTTTTTTTTAAGAAACCTTTGGCTATCAGATTATTACTAATCGATTCATTAAAAAAAATATTGACAGATTAATCGATTTGCAAAATAATCTTTAGTTGCAGCGATTGATTTTTGTTGCAAGCCTGATGAATTGTCATGAGATTAATGCGTTCACAAACTCCTGAAAATACATCTTGCTAAAAGCCAACAGATGCAATAGCCTGGATACAGAAATATTTTGGACCAATGAAATGCAGTGACGTATATGACGTCAACCAAAGCCGGAAGGCTGAAGCAAAACAAAGATAACTGCACTACTTTTAGCTGGAAAACCTTCTATTTTCCTTTTTGAAAAATGGGCAAAAGGACACAATTTATGCCTTTGTGGATGGAAAACATGTTTTTATGTTCTTCTTGAGCAAATTTCCTTAGAGTTTGGTTACAGTCAAATTAACTAGATGAGAAACAAATCAAATATGTGATACGTCAAAGTGTTCGTGTACGTTCAGGCAATTCGTTTTTTTTT